AGTGCTGGGATTAAAGGCGTGTACCACCCCCGCCCGGCCGCTGATTGATTTTCAAACCTCCCGGAACCAAACTTTGTTCGGCTGTAAGACCAGTGATAAGGGTTTGGAGGACCACCAGGATGCACAGAAAACAATTAATGCCATCAAAGCACTGAAGGAACAGAGTCCTTACGGTCGGCTTGTAGAAGGACAACGTGGTGCAGGGTCAAGGCCATCCGCTGGGAGTCGATCGTGCTCAGGATCTTGGCAGCCGCGGTCCCCAGCAGCGGCTTCCCGTTGTACAGTGTGTAGTACGTCAGCTCTGCTGGGTCCTTGGGTCCTGGCACTCGCTGCATCTTCACCATCTTTCAAAAAAAGAGGAGCAGGGTGTGGCCAGAGCATCCGGACAGGCCCCGCAGGCCTCTGGACCATCAGAAGGCTCACCGCATCCCGTCATTGCGGCCCGCTGTGCCCTAGCGGACCCACAGGCACAGGCTGGACACACCAGCCCCGTGACCCTCCCTAGAGCCAGAGTCTCGGGACACCGGCCTGTCATCCTGACTGGGAGGAGACAGTGGGGCTGGAAACATCTGGAAAGCAGTTTGAAGCCGGGCATGAAAACAGGTAAGAGCCACATTTCCCAGCCTCCACTGAGCTCTGGCCTCATTTGAAAATAGGACTCCATGATAATTCAGGGCACGCTAGGCTATCCCAAACAAGGTGCTTAATTTCAAAAAAATCTTCAATTGTCTGAAAGGGGAAAAAAGGTCTGTCTGCCTATAATTGAGGAGGCCTCTGATAGAAGCAGTACTCGGAAACTCAAACTTCTTTTCCTAATCAGCTACGTAGAGGGTTGCTTTTTTTTTTTTAACTACAAAAATTACATTCAGATGGGAAAGCATCAAGCAATGAAAAAATTAAAATAATGTGTAGCCCTTCCTCTGACACCAAAGAACTGTTATCATCCTGGAGCTCTAGTTCCTAATCTTCCTATTCTCTACACAAACCTTTTCTTTATTATCTTATAAAATCATCAAACTTGCTAACAAAAATCATGCCTCACATTTTTTATATGTATGTGTGCATGCACGCACACACATGTGACATGATGCATGTGTGGTCAGAGAACAAGTTGTAGGAATGGGTTCGCTCCTAGTATGTGGGTCCCGGGAATTGAACTCAGGGACTCAGGCTTGGTAGCAGGTGCCTTTACTTGCTGAGCCGTCTCAGAGGTCTGCAGCCCACCATTTCTACTTGCATTTTTAAATGACCCAGTATGTTTCAAAAGCAGAAACATTTCTCTCCACAGGGCATTCAAGTATCTGCCTCACAAGACTGCCTACCAAGCCCTTTATTGTTAGACATTTAGAGTGTGACTTTTAACTTTTGGCATTACAAATTGATAATCATATGATATGATATGTTTATGATAATCCTATGATATGGACATAGTGTTCTGTTGTATGTTTGCAGGCATGGTAAACATTGGACATTTAGGATTTTAACTTTTGGCTCTTAGAATTAGCAATTAAATGACAAACATTGTATTATAGTGTTTTCAGGATATACATTACAGATACTGGGTTTCATAGAATATAAAAAGATATTACAAAAATGTTTATAGTAAGTTCATTAACAACATCAAAACCCCTGAAAAATCCAAAAGTCAATAGTACTAAACTGAACAAATGAGTTATGGAAAGTCATAAATCATTTAGCAAGCACACTAATAGAATATAGAATACATTGAATAGAATATAATGAACAAGCTACACCAGTTCATATGAATGTGGATTACAAATTGCAGATTATAAAATTTAAAACAGGAAAAACAACGTGGCATATTTTTAAGGATCTACACATGGGGGTAAAATCTATACAGAAAATACAGGACTGAGTTAATACAAAATTCAGAACCATGCTCAACTTGGATAGCAAGAAATGGAATATAATTTTAAAAATCAATGGGGTATGTATGTGTGTGTGTGTGTGTGTTGCTCTTGCCTGTTTGCCTGTGTGGAGGTCAGAGGTCACCTTTAGGTATCTTCCTTCATCACCTTGGTTTTTGAGAGTGTCTTTCACTGAACCTGGACTCACTGATTTGGCTTTGCTAGCTGGCTAGCGGGCCCCCAGGATCCTCCTGTCTCTGCCCTTCCTGTCCTGGTGTTGAATGTGTGTGTGCCACCAAGATCCGCTTCGATGTGTGATCTGGGGATCCCAGCTCAGGTCCTCATGCCCTGCAGTCAGAACTCCCCTGGCTGAGCCATCTTCCCAGACACATCAACTACAGAAATAACTTGAAGTTCTAGCCATCTAAATCTCCATATTTATGAAGAGACATCCTCATTTATAAATGTCTCAACCCAGAAGAAAGCCCCCTGCGTGGAAAGATAATGGAAGCGCCGTTGTGTGGATTTGGGGAGGAGGCTTAGCATGTCACTCCTTGCCCTAGTGGGAGAAAGGAGGCGGGCAGTGTTTGAACAACCTGGCAGAGGTGAGTGATAATTCAAATATCTATTAACCTCACTCATTTCCAACTTGATAGCACTTCTTACCAAGATTTACCCACGTATGAGGGCAGAAGCAATCTATAGCATCGAGATTTGCAGAAAGAAAGAAACGCCACTTGCTTCCCTCTGACATGCTGTCTCTCTGCAGTCTCGGAGACGTGCAGAAGTGTTAGGGTCACAAGAAGCACTGGGCTTGTAAGATGGCCCGTTCTCTCCCATGGACTGATGCAAACCACTTCACAGCTGTGTGGTCACCAGTGACTTGCTTTCTGTCATTAGGAGAAGCATGGATTGTAGGGCTTACATGCAACAGACCTACAGAGGGGAAATCACAATCCTGTCTTGTGAAATGAACCATCCTTTTACCTAGGGATGGGCTGCCATGGAGCAAACTTTCAGAACCAAATTGACACCCAATAGGACAATGAGCACAATTCATGACTGTGCATAAGGAGACGTGAAGTGTCTACCAGGGCTGTGATGCAACTCATGCTGGGGGGGGGTGGGGGGAAAGGTGGACGACTTTCAAGAAGTCATGGCAATGTCATCTGCAGACACAATGTGCTAATGTCTGCAGACACATAGACAGCATGACACTGTGCATCTATGCAAACCTGGTCGGTTGTCAACCAGGAGTTCATAGGCCAGCAGAAGGCCATACTACTAGGAGGGCATCTGTAAAATGAGCTAGGTCAATTAGCATAGCATGGTAGAGATGGATTCTCAGTGATAATGGATGAAGTTAATCACATTTTTTGTGTGTCCTTCAATAGTTTTTTTTTTTAAGATTTATTTATTTATTTATTATGTGTACAGTGTTGTTTGTATGTATGCCTGAACACCAGAAGAGGGCACCATGTGGTTGCTGGGAATTGAACTCGGGACCTCTGGAAGAGCAGTCAGTGCTCTCAACCTCTGAGCTATCTCTCCAGCCCCCGAAATTAATCACATTTAGGCTGCATGGGTTGGTTCAAATATGCTAAGGACATTCCCACTCTAGGAGGAACTGGATAAGGTGTGGAGGGAGGTGTAGACAGCCCTCACAGGGACAGCTGCTGTCTTGACTACCTACATCCCTTAAAACTAATCCTGAGAGGCTTGTGCTGGGAGTTTCTTCGAGAGGTCCTGAGAGGAGAGTGAGAGGTGACTGGGGAACTTTTTGCTTCATGGATACCTACATGCATACAGACTCCTTTCCTGGTTATCTACTTACTGCTGAGGAAGGAAGACTGACCCTCTGCCTCGAAAACTTCAGAGGAATGTTGATCAAATGGCTTAAGTCAGTTGACAGCATGGATGAGGCACATGTAGTTGTTTCGTCTCAGAAAACACATCCCCCCCCAGTCATTAGAAAACCCCAGTGCACACGCCTACCTGCACAGTATAGCTTCCCAAGGTGGTGGCCCTTTTAAACCGCCGGCTCTGTTGCTGGGACATCATGAACAGTTGGGCTAGACGCTGCTCCATGACCCGGGCAAAGCTCTGGTTGTGCAGACCCACCAGCGAGTTGTCCACACCCTGGAGCACTGAGGATGCAGAAGGCAAAGGATATGCTGAGAGCCCAGACTCAGTATCTACACCACCACCTGCCCTGCATAACCAAGAAGGGCCACCATGCCCTGCTTACAGTGGGGCTTGGCCAGCCTCACCTACTTCTCCTCCAAGGCAGCTCATGAGTTAAGAATCTTTGCCTACTCTGTGTTACACATGTTGGAAAGGTTAGTGGCCTGCCTGAGACAGCACAGCGAGGAAGTAGCAGTCGGGTACGAACCCACGCTTGTATAACTCCAAAGCTTGTGTCTTTCTTCTGTAAGCTGCAACATCTCACACACGGCTGCATCGAACCCAAACTTTTACAGATGATACACCCTGCAAAGGGTCCACAGGGACACAGCCAAGCTTCAAGTGCAGCTAACTGGGGTTTGGCCTGGTTGTCACTGGCAAAACCCTAACTCAGGGTTTATTTTTCTTTCTCAACAGCTTGGTCAAGGATTCACAGAGCCATGCTGGAACTTGAATGCACACATTAGGGCAAACTATGCTGTTCAATATCTTTATCTCTCCCTACCTGATAGGATCCTTATTACCCCCAAAAGCTGCCCTGGGCCCATCATGTCCTCTCCCATTCAAGAATAAGACAACTTAATGGAAGGAGTGTACTCTCTCTCATTTCTGGCTCTTGTCAATTACAGGTCCTTCAGCGGGCCACTGGAATCCAGTCCTCTGCTAAAAGGAAGGGTACCTCACAGCAAGCACTGGGCTAATGGGCGCTAAGGATCAAACTGCATAAGGCAGTTTGGCCCTGTCTGTGGAAGGTACATGGGGTCCTTTCCTGGCCCTTGCCTCTCCTGCGTTAGATCTCAGCCGCCATTTCTGGGACAACAGGAGACACTGATGGTGGAGTTGCAAGCCCCTGCTGCTAGTGCACGGATGAGAGCTGTGATGAACACAGGGCCTCTCTAGAGCTCTCTATAGGGACAGTTGTCTGTTTTCATTGACGCCCAGAGTCCAACTCCATCCTTTGGGAAGCAGCTTCGCCCCAAGCATGCAAACAGTGCCTTCAGACACAGTCACACCCAAAATTCCAAGTGTTCAAATTGATTATTGGATTTTTTAAGCGATCAAAACTCAGAAGAGATGGGAATGGAATAAAAGAGTCTTCATTTAATAGATTTGGTTCTAACACAGTCCAGTCCAGGATCATGAATACCATCCATCCACCATGGTATAGAAACAGCCCCTTCTTGTGGTGGTATTGTGTTCCCCAAAATATTGTGCACCCTAATAAATTTATCTGGGGTCAGAGACAGAACAGCCACTAGATACAAAGGCTAGAAAATGGTGGCACTCACACCTTTAATCCTAACATTCCAGAGGTAGAAATCCTCTGGATCTCTGTGAGTTCAAGGCCACATTGGAAACAGCCAGGCATGGTGAGACACACGGCTTTAATTCCAGGGAGTGATAGCAAAAACAGAAAGATATGTAAGGTGAAGACCAGGAACTAGAAGCTTTTAGCTGGTTAAGATTTCAGGCTTTGGAGCAGCAGTTCAACTGAGATTCATTCTGGATGAGGATTCAGAGGCATCCAGTCTGAGGAAACACGATCAGCTGAGAAGTTGGTCAGGTGAGGTTAGCTGTGGCTTGTTCTGTCTCTTTGATCTTCCAGTGTTCACCCCAATACCTGGCCTCAGGTTTGATTTTATTAATAAGAACTTTTAAGATTCCTGCTACACCTCCTAAAGAGCATGCTGTCTCTGCAGCCGCTGATCAAGATGGATGTTGCATGCAGCCAGCACCAATGAGGGAATCTCACACAGAGCCAGACCGAGCCGTCAAAAATGAGACTCAGAGAATGACATTGATATGCGGATCAAGAAAGAAATAAAACCCACAGCTGGGTCTCTGCAATGACTTCTTTGAAGCCATCAATGCCAAATGATCCCCCTGGAGGGTATAAAGCATAGCTCTAGGGCCCTGGTGAGGGACTCTAGATGGTTTGCCCGCCAAGTCCCTGCAAACAGAGAGGAATGCTTCTATACTGCTCGGTCAGTGCTCCGCAGGCCCTCAGGGTCCCACAGGGGTTTCCTACCTCAGACAGGAGAGTCTGGTTCAAACACACCCCATGTAGTAAATATACAGGCCAGACCACTGAAATGCCTTCTAACTAATGGTCAAGAAGGAAAGAGCGGGCATCATAGATTGGTTTACAGGCATCTCGGTCATGACTCAAAGGCAGACACCAAGTAAAGGCAATAGGCAGCCTTCTAGGTAATGAAAATGCCCTAGCAGTTAATGGTTGTTTGTATTATGGACTTTCTCTAGGCCACAGAATTGGAAGTTTAAGATGCTTAAAATGCGACATTTTACTTTATCTGTGTTTTTAGTCCATTTCTCTTTAAAATGACAAGATGTCTCTGGGAAAGCACAGGAGAGCGTGGGAAGCCCTCAGAGCAGGACAGTGATGAACACCTAGATGGCTGGAGTTTGTACCGCTGCAGCTCTCCAGAAAGAGTGGGTTCTTCTTGGGGTCAGAAGCAGGGGTGTGAGCCTGAGTCATTGCTCCCCTTCCTGAGACAAGCCACGTAGTTTCTCAGGGCCTCAGTTCTCTACTGAGCTAACTACTGATTGCGAAGAAGAAATAATTCAGGAAACAATACTTTTAACACTGGTGCTATAGGACACCGCTGTGTGGAATCTGTTGCCATCACAAGGCCCCCTCTCCTCCCCCTTTGCTGGGTACACTCTTCAGAGGAAGAAATGGCATGGAAGGAAGGCATCTGTGCCTCTGCACATGGTCCCCTCCCTTCTCCCAAGGTCCACAGCACATTCTCCTTGACCCTGCCTGCCTTCTGGGAAGGCAGTGGAGGGGCCTGTACTCACATCTCCCACAGCGACACAGTAGCTCAGACCCCTCAGCACATCAGTCAGGGCCCTCGTAAACACCCAGTCTCAGCCAGTACAGACTCAGAGCAGAGGAGGCGTTCCAAGTCCCCTGCTGTGTTCAGAGGAGCGAGGTTAAAAAGTTCAAGACCGTGACACGCCCTTCTCGTTTTATTTATAATCACACTGGGCTCTAAGATCCATTAGCAGGCATGGTCAGCCTCCTGCACCTGAGCTAAAGTGTTTCATTTGCAGTTGAATCTCACACATTCAAACTCCGGGAATCTTCGTGCTCAGCTGGTGTCCTTCCTCCATTCTACAGGTGAGTGTGTGAAGCCCAGGGGACCCAGGGGGACCCAGGGACTGGCTCTAGGACACACTAGTAAGAAGTAGAGGTAAGAAGAGAAGGATGTCGCTCATTACTGGATCTCAGCCACCTCGTCTCTAGTGTGTGAAACAAAGGCAAATGTATAAATCGGAGACAGGCTCTATTAGTGACCAGTGGGCTGGCCGATTAGTCCAGGGCTAGCTGGTCAGTGAGTCCCGGGGAGCTGCCTGCCTCTGCCTCCTCTTTGATGTGGGCTCTGGGGAGTCTAAGTCAGGCCCTCATGCCTGCATGGCAAACACTGAACTGACTGAGCTATGTCTTCAAGCCCTAGTCACCAATGTCTGGGTATCTCTACCTTGCTTCATTTCTCTAAAACAAATTGCAAGATCTTCAGATGGCAGGACAGTCCATAGGTTTTCTGTAAAGGGAAGCTGCAGAGGCCATCCATTGCTGGTGATTTTCCATCAGAGGAGGAACCACCCTCTGCCAGAGGAGGAAATATACAAGATACTCCAGCTAAGTCCAGTTGAAAAACAGACAAAAGCACACAGAGTGTGTAGTAGAAACTCCAGAAAGGGGCAATTGCTACGAATTGAAAAGGACAGAGCTTGTGGTGATGGTCTGGGGGCCAAGGCCGAGTAAAGACCCTCATTGCTGGCTCCCAGTCATCAGCCCTTCCTTTTATGATAGGGCAGGCTAGCAGAGGCTTCCCAGAAGTTTGTAAAGTGGTCATGGTTCGTATGGAAGGCAAGAGGGTCATGTCAAACCATGGTTCCAGTTCCTCCCAAGCACCGACTGACTGATGCCAGCAGCAGAGAGACAGCGGCAACTCTGTTCTGATCACCAACTGCAGTGCCAGCAACAGCAGTGAGGAAGGAAGCTACCTGAGTGAGCATGAAGGGTTACGTCCCCGGAGAGCCCAGGAACAAGACTGCGCATAGCTTTCCTTAAGGTAAGGCCACCAAAAGGAAGGCACGGCAAGGCACAGGAAGATGGGAGGGGATCTCACCAGGGGCTGTCAAGGGCAGCCTGTATTGAAGAATGGATTATGATCACTGAATGAAAACTTTCAAGTTCAGAGAAGGGGAACGATCTGGGAAGGAAAAGGCACCGTGCTTGAGGAGGGCACTTGATTTTGTATCATTATGGAACCCGCTGGCTCAGACAGGTGTTGCTGGGTTGGCACCACCTCTCTAGGGTTTGCATCCCGGTAGAGTGGTTTCTGATATGTTAAAAATATGCTTCTTTAGTTTGCCTTCTCAGCAGTTAAAACGACCTCTGGGTACCAAAGACCCTACAGTGGGGGCATGTGGGTGATCTGTCTTTTAGAAGAGAGTTCAGGCAGCCATCCTGGAGCCGGACAGGAACTACTTGGATGGAACTTTAGGCAACAGGCCACCTGCCACTGCTTGGGGCAGCGGTGAGGGAAGGATGGATGAGGGACGGGAGCTCAGGGCAGCTGCTCCTCTGTACACATTTCCATGTCTGGAAGGATCTCCCTACCTCCTCATTGACGGGCTGGACTACATTGCCCAAATTCACGTGTGCAAGTCCTAACACCCAGTATATCTGAAGGTGACAGTATTTGGAGTGACGCTCTTTGTAGGGGTAATGAAACTAAAATGAGGTCATGAGCACGGACCATAATCCAGTGTGTCTGGTGTCCTTATAAGAGAAGGAAGTCAGGACAGACAGACTCAGGGAAGAACAAGTGGGGACAGGTGGCGAAGGTGACCGACTCCAAGCCAAGGGGATGGGAGGAAGATGTAAACCTATCGGCGCCTTGGTCTCAGACTCCGAGAGCATGGAGAACGGGACTCTCAGTTGTCTACACTCTGATGGCCGGGCTGGTCACTTTCCCGCCTACGAACAGCTGTCCTCTCCATTTGCCTCAATAACGCCGTTTCTCTCATTTTAGAGCCACTGGGAGGCTTTTGAAAGACACAAACAGAATGCTTTTACTGTTTCATAATGTTCAGCTGTGAAATGTCAAGGGAAAAAGAAAATGCCACCAGAACACTCCTGCTCTTCGACTCCCACCCGACCTCATCCGCAGAGCACACCAGGATTGGGGTGGGCTGGGTCGTGTGCCCCGAGAAGGAGCAGCACACAGATGGCCCTCTTCTGGCTTTGATTTGGGTTTTGCAGGGCAGTATGGAGAGGCCTGCCATCTGTTTAGACAGACACCCACACAGACGTGCCCCAGACAGCCACTGTTGTGGGGTATTTGTACACTGTGTAGATGTGTTGCTGTGATTGGTGTAATAAAAAGCTTAGCAGCCAATAGCTAGGCAGGAGGTATAGGCAGGACTTTCAGGCAGAGACAGAGAAACTGGGAGGAGGAACCAACCGAGGTGCTTGATTTCACCAGCAGACTTGGAGCAAGTCAGATGTGCCATACTAAGATGAGGTAACCGAGCCTTTATGGGCTGGTGATCCAAAGATAGCCTGGCAAGAAAGCTTGCTACAAGTCACTCACACAGCCGTGCCTCAGCTAGCCACTCATACACGTGTGCCCCAGACATCATCCCCTAGTGCTGCTGTGAGATAGGCTGAGGATGGGATTGTTGAGGTAACAGTTTTAAATTGTTTATCAGTAACCATCTTCAGGGTGTTCTTTTCTCAGCTTCCCCAATCCCTCCTAGCCCTGTAGAAGGAACTCCTTGATTCATAAGGCAGGACCAAAGGACTCAATCCTGTCACCAAGTGCCACCGTTTTAGACAATCCAACCTTGTGGTACAAAGAGGGACATACAGAAATAAGACATTACCTGTGATGACCCAGTAGTCTCTGGTCGTTTCTGATATATCAAGGTTGGGATATTCCAGTGCTAAAACAAATAAAAAGCACATCACATTTCTCGGGTAGGTTTTATGAGTAAACATTATCCAGGGAAACACAGAAGTGACAAGCTGGTGAGCAGCTAAGGTTCCACACTGCCATCTCTGGGGAACCTGTGGCACACGGGTCAAACTCTCTCATTGTGTAGAAAGTTGGCCCATTAAAGGGACAGCCTCCACAAGGGGCTCAGATTCAGGAGTTTCTCTCTTTGAAGTTTTCCCTCCAAGCCTTCTTAAATGGATCAGCATCACAAATCAGTACCCACAGCTGCAGCCTGTCTTCGCCGGGGCTTCCTCTATACAGATCATCTAGCACCATGGAGGTCTAAGGAATGGTTATCTCTTAAAGGGATCCTCCCAGCCAGCGTTTAGGGCTTACACGTGGTACCCCAGTGCCGGGAGAAAGAGCTACCATCTTGCTTTACCAGCATGGTGACTATGAGAACTGACATGTAAAGGTCTTAGCGCAGTGCCTGGCACACAGTCAGTGCTCAGCAAATCTTTCATGTGTGTATGTATGTGTGCACATGTGTATGTAAGTGTACACATATATGTTTAAGCCAGAGGATGATGGCAAGTGTCTTTCTCAATTGCTCCTCCCCTTATTTTCTGAGACAAGATCTCTCACTGAACCTCGAGCTTGCTGATTTGGCTAGCCTGGCTGCCCAGTGGGCTTCCAGGGATCTTCCCAGGCCAACTTCCCAGCACTAGTGTTACAGTTGTGAGCAACTCGCCAGAACGTTCTTTCTTTTTTAAATGTGGGTACTGAGATCAAACTCAGATTTTCAGGAGTGCACAGCAAGTGCTTTGCCAGCTGAACTCCCCCCCACCCCCCGTCCCTACTTACTGCTCTGTTCAACTTAACTGTGGTCATTATCAGAATTTAACCAAGCTGGTGCAAGAAAGTAGCTCCTGCCCCTGCCGCCCTGGGACAGCAGCCTGCCACTGCCTTCCACGACATAATCTTTTTACGAAGTTCAGAGTCATCCTTACTGCCTGAACATTTATAAGATCTTTCCAGTAAACACACATTCAAACAACTCAGTGGCTGCTAAGTGACAAGTACACCTTTCACACACACACTTACACACGCCTGCATGCGATCTCATTTATTTAGAGTATCAAAACAACTACAGAAAGAAATTATGAAACATTTTTGCTAATGGGTGCATTTTAAAAGGAAATCTTTGCCAGTGACCTTATGAAATATAATGATTAAATTTAGGGTACAGACCGTCACTTCTTCAGCTACCCAGTAAATGTCTAAGTGACAAAATGCGGGCTGCTCTGTCTTCAAAGTCCAGTTGACTGCTCCGTAATGAGGATTATATAACAAGCATTACAGAGAGCCGGAGCCTCAGACTACGGGGACTTCAAGTGAAGTCACGACACAAATCGCAAAGTTTGCATTACACTGTCTGTAGCCAGCTGGACCCAACAGTCTAGAAACATTTGTGGAGGGGAAAGAAAACTATGGCAACCTGGACTGCCCCTAAGGACAGATGCTCTGAAAGGCAATGCTGAGAGCACAGTCCCCATGCAGCCATATTAGCTGTGGGAGGGTGGACATCCTGTGAAAATTTTTTTTGGGGGGGTGGCTCTAATTTTTTTTTTACAGTTTTGCACCCTCCTCACAGGCTTATTGTAAGCATCAAGCAAGGGCTCTCTTGCAGTGTGCAATGAACTTTTTGTCCACTGAACCCCCATGTGTTGCCTTTTTCAGTTGCTCAAGATAACACACATCCATGTAGCGTAGCACAACAGAGGTTCTTCTGCTGCGGAGAAAGATACCCGGGGGGAAACCACAGGGCCCTGCTCCATGAGGCCGAGGCGCACGTACTCACGTTCAGCGATGGTGAGTGGAGGGTAAGTGAGGTAGAATCCTACCAGCTCAGCTGAGAGCTGGCTAAGGAGGCTGCTGGCCACGGTGCCGTTGAGGAACGAGCTCTGATTGCCCACAGCATACACCAACGTGACGGCTTGGGAGGCATTGGACGTGCTCACCATCTGAATGGCACAGGAGCAAAGGGGAAGGAGACATACCAAATAAGGTGAGGGTCTGTGTCCTGGGGGCCGAGGAAGGGACCTTTCAACAGGAGTTGAGGGTTGTGATGGAAGGGTAGTGGGGAGACAGCAAGGAGGAAGAAAGAATAGCAAGCCATTGTTTACAGATTGCAGGCGCATGCCAGGCACCGGGCTATGGGCACCCCATCTCCATCTTGATCTAAGCCTGGAAGGAACGTCTGTTTAGGGCTGTCTTTCACAAATGAGGAAACCGCGGCCTAGAGTGACAGGGATTTGTCCAAGGTCATACAGCTCACTTGTGACGGAGTCAGGATTTGAACCTAAGCAGTCTTCATTGCTGGCTCTTAACTTCTCAGGTGTCTTTTCCAGGGGCTAAACTGACTCAAGTGACCTTTATAATTCTGGAAATATAAAGCAGAGCACGGGGATATTAAAGGAGAGCCCAACTGTCAAATGTTCAGGGAACTTCAGGTTGAGAGGAGTATGTACCCAGTGTTATGAGCAAAGTGACTGAATATGAGCATAACAGGAATTCAGAAATACAAAACAGATCCTTCATGGAGCAATTACTTTCTTTTGTGAACCATGAATTTGGTATGGATTATGAGAAAAAAAAGTTCTCTAAGATAACATGGGTTTCTCATGCTCAGTCTTATTTCATTTTTAGTTGCCGGGGGAAAATGAGATTTTCTGGGTCAATGTACGGATAAAAATATCTCAAACATTTGAAAAACAGGAGCAGGAGAAAAATCACTGGGCTGGTGAGATGCTTTTGCTGGATGATGTGCGTGTGTCTGCCCTTTTCTCTCCAGATCTCCCCGCCACTGTCCTGCACGTCACAGAGGGCATCCTGCAGGTTAGTCCTCAAGGACTACACGATGGTTTCTTTGGCCACTGGTGTTAGGGGGATGAGTGGGTATGGGAGAGAGGAAGGAAGGGCAGGGCACTGAAGCCAGTCACCCTCCCTGTGGGCATCAGGGCCCAGGTATAGCCTGGGCACTGGGCTGGCCCTGCCCGCACGCTCAGCTGAGGTACCTTTTTGGAACTCTCAAGTTCCTTTTGAGTACTGTCTTACCCACCTGGGGGGCAGGCTACCACCTGGCTTGACGGGACATTTTCACTCAGGCATCATCTCTACAGCTTTGCTCTCTGTCCTGATTCTGAAGAAAGCTGCTCCGAATAGCTTCTCCACTTTGCTGTCTACTTTCCCCACATGTGACAGCTTTCTCTCTTCTCCAACCAAGAGCCATAATCTCCTGATTAAGGACAACCCAGCCAACATTTCTGCTCAGCCCTTGTTCTCCTCCCAGAAAGTATTTCTGGAATGTGTTTCAGCTACAGGTATTCAGACCTCTGTCCCCAGGTGTCCCCAGGAAAAAAGCACTTTCTGATGATTCGAGAGTTCCCTGGGCTAAGAGCTAAAAGCACTCAGGTCTCTTTCAGAGGACCTGAGTTTGATGGGTAGTACTCAGATCAGGTGGCTCACAACCACCTGTAACTCCAGCTCCAGGGAATCCAATGCCCCCTTCTGGCCTCTTAGAGCACCCACAGGTATGTGCACGCACACACACACACACACACACACACACACACACACACCATGACACATACACCATGACACACAAATAAATAATAAATCATCATAATAATAAAATTGTTTTGTCGTTACCACTATTGTGAATATTTACTGATACTTGTCACCTTTCAATAAGCAGCACTACATCTCCCTGGACCTCCAAGAAGCCCATATATGTGTATATATATATATATATATATATATATATATATATATATATATATATACATATACATACACACATATAAATATGTATATATAGATATGTGTGTACACATTCATAAAATTGTGTATGTACATACATACATGCATGCATCCTATATTCAACCAGGTAAGTTATACGTTTTTGTTGTGGTAAAATATATAAATCACAGAATTTAATATTTTGACCATTTTTAAGCACACAGTTCATCAACATTAAGTAGATTCTCATTTTTTGCCAACCATCACCAACACCATCTCCAGAACTTCCTCACTGCCTCTAACTCTATACCTATTAAACAACTCCCAGTTTCTCTATCTTCTTATTCCAAGGTTGCTCTTAAAGTAAGATTCCTGATTGTTCCACAGCTCTGGATATCTGGTAGAAGAGAAATCATACTGTGACATTCTATGACTGGCTTACTTCACTTAGAACAATGACCTCAATGCCACCCAGGCTATGGTAGGCACCGGAATGCCCTTCTTGTTAGAAGGCTTAGGAACACTCCAGCACTTCATTTGTTTTTCATGTAACCATTTGATAGACACTTGGTTCATGTTTGGCTTTTTGCCATTGTGAACACTACACAAATACCTATTTTAGCTCCTAGTTCCTGTTTTTAATTCTTTTTGATATGTAGATGGACATGAAGCTACTGGGTCATACTGTAACTGCATGTTTTGGTTCTTGGGGTCCATGCTGCTGTGTTCCACAGTGGCTGTCCATTGCACATCCCTCTAGAAGCACACAAGGACTCTAACTCCTCCATACGCTTGCCAACACTTAGTGTTTTCCAGGGTTTTGTTTTTGAGAATGATCGTTCTAATAAATAAGAAGTCGTGTCTCCTAATTGACAGGTCAAATTCTCTCTCCCCACCCCACCCCCAGCCTCATCTCTGTTTCTGTCTGCCTCTCTCTTCATGGTGATGTAGTTCAAACCCAGGACATAATGCATACTAGACAAGTACAGCTACACTTATCCCAGACCTCTGTTGCCACTAATTTTCTTTTAATTGATGCATAGAAGAAATTCTTTCTATTTCTTTAAGTTCTGGATATTAATCACTTATCAGACAGATGATTCGTGATTCTGTGGGTTATCTTTCACTCTGTTATTAGTGTCTTTTGATGGGCAAGGTTTTCAAGGATGTCCAATTGTTTGTTTCTCTTGGCCCTGTGGTTTTCCAATAGGGTCCAAGATACCCAGGCCCATGAAATCTTTCCTCTATGCTCCAAGCTCTTTAGTTCTTACATGTAGGTCTTTGAGATTATTTTGTTGATAATGTTAGGTGTAGCTCCAGCTTCCTTCTTTTGCAATGTGGATACCCATTATTTAAAAGATTATCTTTTTCCTCATAGACTAACCTTGATAACAATAGTAGATTTCTTTCTGGCCTCTACATTTAGACCATTGGTCTCTGTGTCTGTCAGAAAAGAAAGACCATGCTGTTTTGGTTATCATAGCTTTTTTAAAATTAATTTTGAAACAAGAAAGTGTGAAACTTACAAAATGTGTTCTTTGTCAAGATTGTTTTTGTTCTTGAAGGTATTTTGAGGCTCTACTTGAACTTCAGGATACATTTCTCTATATCTGTCTTTATAAATGTCACTGGGATTGGTGTGTGTGTGTGTGTGTGTGTGTGTGTGTAGGTGTAGGTGTCCATGAAGGCCAGAAGAGTGTATTGGAACCCCTGAAGGTGGAGATACAGGTGGCTGTGAGCTGCCTGATATGGGTACTAGGAACTGAACTCAGATCTCCTGCAAGAGCAGCAAACATTCTCAATTGCTCAGTCATCTCCCTCTGCCCTCCTCTCCCCTTCTGTTTTTTGAGACAGGAATATGTACTCCCTCCTCCCCAGACTGGTCTTGAACTTGCTATGCAAGCTAGACTGCTCTTGTATCTACAGCAATCCTCCTGTCTCTTTCTCCAGAATGGGATTTCCATAGGGATCACAATCGATCTACAATTCCCATTGGTGAATATTGAGATCTTTATAGCTTAAGGTCTCCCAAGCAATGAACACAGTCCTGTTCCCATGCCTTTGTATCTTCTTTAATGAACTCAATCGTGTCCTTTTATGAAGCCTCTGACTCGCTCACTCATTCTGGTTCGTTAGCTCATTAGACCACAGGCCACTTTGTTCCCAGTATCTTTCTCCTCTCACAGTGGCACCATGGTCCCCAGAAAGCCACCTCCCTTCTCCACTTTGTCCATGTGCTCCGGGCACAGCTGCCACTCCCCACATTCCAGGAATAGGCATCTGTGCCAGACCATGTTGACCAGGATATTTCATCTCCTTGGTCACAGTTATCAATCCAGAAGTTGCATAGCGGACCAATGAGAGCTAGTCCCAGGGTCTGGACTGAAATGATACTGAAAAAGAAAAAAAGGGGGGACTCTTTGGTTCCACAAGACCATAAGCAATAAGAAGGAGGCAAATCTGGAAGCACCAAGGACCACTCAGTAGAGGTAAGAAGTGTGCTGGGCTGGAGAGATAGCTCAGAAGTTAAGAGCACTTGCTGTTCTTCCAGATGGCCTGGGTTCCTTCCCCAAGGACCCACAAGGCACCTCACAGCTATCTGTAACTCAAGTTCTAGAAGATCAGACACCTTTGTCCGGCCTCCATGGGCGTTCTGTGCATGTGAGGCACTAACATGCATACTGTAGGCAAAGCATATATACAGTAAACAAAAACACATCTTCAAACAAGAAAGAGGAGGGGGTCTGGAGGAAAGCAAGCCAAGAGATGAACAGAGAGCTTCCTGAAGAAACTGTTGATGCACCAGGATCCAGGTGTGCCTCCAGCCAATAAGCTGTGAACTTCCCCGTGAAATGAGCCCATCATTGCCTCTTTCTGCTTATGTCTCAAAAGCTTGGGTTCTGTTATACCCTCATTGAGTCAACTATAATCTAGCTTCTAATACTATGTGGTTTTTTTAAAGTCACTTTTCCAATGACTCTGATATTTACATCTTTTCATTCCACAAAGGATTCAAAGTACCATACAAATTATATTTAATGGAATGAAATGGAAAAGTATTACAAAAACATTAATTTGGAAGTCATACTATCATGATCCCAGGAAGGCAGTTAGCATGCAGTTATCTGTGAATGACAGAGAGACCGAGAGGGGCGTGTTAAATCAGGGACAAACCTGGTTCTGATACTTCATATTGGCCAAGGCCAAATGTGAAATGGGATTAAAAAAATGATTCATTCAATTAATTTCAAAGGCTTCCAACATTCAGAGAGCATCTCAAAATCTAGTTAAATGCTGTAGTCTTTTCCAAGGAAGCTTTGTTGCTTACGTTTCATCTTATAGCCCATACCAGCTCACCACAGAGACAGGCTGAAGGCCTAGGGCAACTTATTTATCTTGGTGTCTGTTCCCAAAAGATCTAATAAACAGCAGACACTCAACAAATCTCTTAATGCATATTCTGCTGTTGCAAACTGCTAAGGTTCACACACCTGTTAAGACCACAGCGCCAAACCTGAAGAAAAAGATTTCCCATAAGAGCTGAGTCACACTGCTTACATAAATCTTAAATCTGTGACACATTTTTAGATCTTACACTAATAAGAGCCGAGTTGTAATGAGATCCTCTCTGTTCCACTTTGCCCAAGTCTAGAAAAGGAAAGCTGCTCCTTCAAATTAGATCGTGTGCTTTCTACATGGCATTGGCTTTGCTGGTAACTCACTTATGCTAAATGTCAATTTCAAAAGCCCTAGGTCTAATTGCAAAGGCTTTAGTTGAGTAGTCAAAACAGACAGAACAGTGGCATTAATTAGAGACTTTGGGGGCTGGATGAATAACATTAAGAAGCATCTATCCTTATTGAGATGTTATCTACATAATTGCACACACACTAAACAATGGGTCTGAAAAAGGCTTTCCGTGGTATTCACATTGTTAGCCAGGAAGCCAAATATATGGTGCCCTAGGAATTGGATTTCCCTGGGAAAGACGCACTTGCCAAGGGCTCAGGGACACCTTTTCTATACTGTATCAATGCTGGGACAGCTTGGTGGATACGAAGACAGAGTTTGGGCTCATATCTCTACTCCATTCTTTTCCAACCATGTGACCTTCTGGGATTTTCATAATTCTTCTCTCAGTTCTCATTTGAACAAAATGGAGATGATATCATAGAGGATGTCTTGATCATTACACAGAAAAATATTTGTAAAACACTAAGCACAGATGCTGGCAGAGAGGAAGCCCACGCTGTAGAAGATGTGGGTGTGTTTCCGTGGGTGTTTCTGTTTGCATGTAATGATCATTTGTGTTAAAGCCTAGAAATAGCCCAAAGAAAATCACACAACAGTTAATCACAACAGAGATAGATTTTAAAATCGATTCACTGGCCCTAAGATGCCTCAGGAGATAAAGGCACCTGCCAACCAAGCATGGTGACGACCTGCATTCGATCCCTGAGACCCACATGTGAGAAGGAGAGAACTCACTCTCACAAGCTGTCCTCTGAACTCCACATTTACTCTGCAGCATGAGCCTGTCAAACACACACACACACACACACACACACACACACACACACACACACATACACACACACACACACACACACACACACACACGTGTGCACACACACATGCAAATAATGTAAAAAGTTAAATTAAATCATTTTATATTAAGAAAATTGGTTCACCTTGTAAAGTACATTCAGGTTCAATTCTTTAATGATAAACTCACTAAAAGGCCAGAGGAGGGCTGGAAAGATGGCTCACAGGTTAAGAACACTGGCTGCTCTTCTAGAGGTCCTGAGTTCAATTCCTAGCAACCACGTGGTGGCTCACAACAATCTATAATGAGATCCTATGCCCTCTTCTGGTGTGCAGGCATACATGCAGACAGAACACTGTATACATAATAAGTAAATAAATCTTTAAAGAAAGAAAGAAAAGGAGGAAGAAAGGCCAGAAGAAGCATTACATACAAAAACCAAGTATTAACCCCTGAATCATGGTAGGTTCATAGTGACATGGAACCCTACCTGCCATAGCCAGACCTCAGCCACCCTCACCAGTGTCTGTATCACCTGCCAAGGGTACAAGCTTATATTTGCGTATGACAGATTCTAAATGGGGGGACCAATATATGCATTATGGCTGTCCATCTCCCATGCAGCCTGAAGTCCCTCCTCCCTACCTGAAGCGTCAGGTTGCTCCTGCTGTTGAGGACCTTCCTCTCTGCATCCTGGAATGCCTTCTGCAGCCTCTGCTCCATCGTCTGGGCAAACTTGCAGGACTGAATGTTGTCTGACTGGCTTACGAACTGCAACACTAGATGAAGAACCACGAGTCAGTACTCATCAGGGCTCTGTCTTAGTTCCTCAAATTTAACATCGGTGGCGATATAAAACAGCATGATTTTTAGGTTACAGAAATTAGGCAAATAGACAATAAGACCAGACAAGCTTTAATTATAGTTTTGAAAGTAACTCTTAAGATGATTTATGGCAGAGAATAATTAAAAGCATGACTGAGCCCAAGGTTAAGGTTCTCTCCAACACAAAGGACGTCATGACTTTATCGCATGAGACTCTGCAGACATCTGCTCAAAGATGACAAACCAGTGCCCTCTGTTTCTGTGGATGGGGATGATCAATTGTCCCCCACACCTAGCCGGTGGCTTCCACCGCAATGGAACCTCCGCTCTCGTGGTTCACAAACTTTGCAAATCAGCAATCACAAGGGAAATTGAGAGAAAGATGTCAAAGTCTTTGCTGGGAAACTACTTCAATAAGAACCAGGCCCTGTTAGTTCCAGACTATAGGTTTTATGGGTGCTCAACTTATAGTTGTAGCCACTGGTAAGAAAGGGGGAAAACACAGTATTCTATGCTGCGATGCACTAAGCATACGGATTGGGAAGAAAAGCCTCTGTGGTGGAACGCGTCTAAGAAAGTCAGAAAAACAGAGGTTTAGGCGGGGAACTCGGACATCTGATGAATAGGGAAATTTGAAGGCGTAAGGACCACGGAAGCTGACGAGCAGCTAGCAGTGAGGCTTTCCGTCAGTGGTCTGCCTGTCTGGTCCCAGATGATGGGGGCTTTTCCTTCTGGTGACTTGCCTGTCTTCAGCTGGAAGGCACCTGCAGGGTGGGGCTTCCAAGGGGAGGCAAGGACCGCCACAGACTGTAAGTTGGGGGTGTGCTGCTTCAGGTCGGCAGTGACGTTGCTGACACCATACACACCCAGCATGTCCATCACCACAGCAGGCAAATACACCAGCCTTCCTCTGGTAGCATAATAGCCAACTGTGACATTATGAGAATATTCCAGGACGTCCACCTACAAAACAAATGGACCCCCAGAGTGCACTGTTTATTTCCACCGTACTTTAAGTTCTTCTTCATGTTCTTAGAGCCTCAGCTGTTGCTTAGTAAGACTGTAGACTAGGACGTTCTCATTCAACCAACATCCTAACAACCCTGTAAAGTGCACATGTGAATTCCAAAGTATCACAAAACAACAAAATAAAACTCACATCAAACCTACATGAGATAAAGCTGAATCTGGTTTTGGATTCCTGAAGTATTTTGAGCAAGATCCAGTGAGCACTAATTATATCACCAGGAAATCAGAGAGGGGGCAGAAGGCGGAAGAGATGTCTAAGGAACAGAATGCTGCTTAGAAAAAAAAAGTTACATCTCACCATTCCTGGGAGGCAAAAGGCAGAGACAATGAATGCAGCAGGGCACCTTCTGGGGATGGGCGACAAGGTATCTAAGGTGGAGTCTTCAGCCTTGGCTCCATGCTTGGCCGAGACACTGGTTCAAGGCCAAGGTGGGGATGAACCAGAGGCCTTCTCTCCCAGGTGAGTCCTAAGGTACACTGATGGCCTGGGCCTTCTCTGTCCCAGTGGAAGGATTTTGAAGTTTTAGAACTTATTGTTACTGCATTTTTGCTTTGTTGATCTTGTATGTTTATAGTTTTAAGTGTGGGTTTTTGGTTTTTTTATATTAAATGTAATGTTTATTATGAAATTGGAGTTTTGGAAAAATTAAAAGAAAAATGACAATTGCCCAGTTGCCTCAGGTATTACCACCACTACCTGCTAGGTGCATCTCCTTTTAATAATTTTTGCTTAGAAATACATATTTTTGTGTATATGTATATGTGTGTGTAAAGAAAAAATATATTTTATAGATAGATAGATAGATAGATAGATAGATAGATAGATGATAGATAGATAGATAGATAGATAGATAGATAGATAGGTAGATAGATAGATAGATAGATAGA